CAGCAGCATCGGCACACCCATAGCAGGCGCTGCCGTCGGCATGGACGGCGGCAATCATAGCACATACAGCGGCACCTTCGGCGACTACTGGAAGCTGACGCTGCCCGGCCGGCACAATGTGACCGTTCTGGCCGACGGCTTTGCGCCGCTGCGCGTCGAGGTCGAGGTGCCCGCCGCGGAGCCCTTTGGCATGCGCCTGGACGTGACGCTGATGCGCGACGATCCACAGCATTGGGCATCCGCCAACGATTTCCGGATCATCGAGAATGTGGTCAACACCAGATACCATACCAATTCGGAGTTGCGCAATCGACTTGCCGAGTTCGAAAATCAGAATCCGCAAATCGCCAGCTTCGGCTACGCGGACAACGAGTTCAGTCGCCACTTCAACTACCTCAAGCTGACCTCCAATGTGAGTACGCATCATCTATATCAGATGCATTTCCTGCTGCCCTAGAGCGGGGATTCTATCGGAACCCCCCCCCTTGGGAAAATGCATTCAAAAGATGTCTGAATCATGTTCAAGTGCTAGACTAGATGCGGTAGAGGGAGCTTCTCATTTTGGTTCGATATCGATAAATATCGATAAATATCGAATTTGGGGCTAGCTAGAGAAGAAGAAGCAGGCCTCGAGATAGGCAGAGGTTCAATCTATCTTTTAATCAGTCTGACTAAAGCCCTCTTCTTTAGTTTTAATCAATTAGATGTGAAGTTAGTTTCTAGATTTGAGGTTAGTTTTTTGATGTGAGGTGAGTTTCTAGATGTGAGGTGAGTTTCCAGATTTGAGGTTAGTTTTTAAATTTGTTTTGATTTGTGGTTAGTTTCTAGAACTGAGGTTAGTTTCTAGATGTGAGGTGAGTTTCTAGATGTGAGTTGAGTTTCTAGACGTGAGGTGAGTTTCTAGATTTGAGGTTAGTTTTTAAATTTTTTTGATTTGAGGTTAGGTTCTAGAACTGAGGTTAGTTTCTAGATGTGAGGTGAGTTTCTAGATGTGATGTTGGATTTGCGCACTCAAACAGTCATGAGGCTACCCTCTGAATGCAAAGCTATATTGACTTGAAATGCGAATGTCCCGACTAAGATACCTTAAAAGCAATCTTTAGTTAATGCCCACAGCAACTTCTGATCAAGCTGGAATCTCTCTCTCTCTTTCTCTCTCTCTCTTTCTCTTCATAGATTGGCGAGCCGGAGGAGCACAAGTACAAGCTGCTGGTGATCAGCTCGCTGTTCGACACGGCCGCACCGCTGGGCCGTGAGATAATGCTGAATCTGGTGCGGCATTTGATCGAGGGCCACAAGCTGCAGGAGGCGTCCGTGGTGCAGCTGCTGCAGCGCAGCGTCATCTACTTTCTGCCGCAGACGGAAAAGTTCGAGGAGATCTTTCGCATGTACAATGCCAAGTAAGTGGGCTTCTTAAAAAAAACTGTGCATTTAATTAACTTGTGATGCAACTCCACAGCAATTCGGTGTGTGATCCCATGCTGCCCGACGAGCTGGCCGAGCGCATACTCAGCCCGGAGACGGAGCCGGCGCGGGATGTGCTGTTGCAGTTTTTGCGCAGCGAACGCTTCGATCTGCTGCTGACCTTCAGTGCGGGCAGCTCAGAGCTGGGCTATCCGCGCGGCGACTCCATACTCGAGAAGTTCGCCCACAGCATCCAGCGCACAGAGTTCAACTATTCGCCGCTGCAGTGCAGCAGCTCCGCCACACGCCAGCTGCATCGGGAGGCAACGGAACGTTTGAGCAATCTATTCTACAGATTGTACAATTTGCCAATGTATACGCTGGGCTTGTCCTGCTGCCGCATGCCCGCACACGGCCAGATTGGCGCCGTCTGGCGCACCAATATCGAGAAGATACGCAACTTTTTGGGCCTGGTCCAGACCGGCATTACGGGCCTGGTGCAGAACGATAAGGGCCAGCCGTTGCGCGAGGCATTCGTCCGTCTGCTGGAGCATCCGTCCGTTTACAATGTGACTAGAAATGCGGCACGCTTCCAGCTGATGCTGCCCAGGGGCATCTATGGGCTGGAGGTGAGCGCGCCCAACTATGAGTCACAGATCGTCAAGACGCAGGTGCAGCACGGCATGCTCAGCGATCTGGGCGCCATCAAGCTGCACGGCTACACACTGATCAGGGGCGAGGTCACCGAACTGAATGCCAAGCCCGCGCCCAGCGGCATTGGCGGCACCACCAGCATATCGGGCCTTGTGCTCGACGATAGCAATCATCCCGTGCGCAATGCCAAGGTCTCTGTCATCCGGCCCGCCGGCCTCAGCCATGTGCGCAATTTCACCAACAGCCTGGGCGAATATCATCTGTCGGCGGTGCCGCTGGGCGCCGTCACGCTCAAGGTGGAGGCGCCGCGACATTTTGAGGCAACGCGCGATCTTCGGCTGCTGGCGCAGTCGGGCCAGCCCACCGAGAACGTTGTCTTCCATCTCAAGTTCAATGCCCATGTCTTTGGCCTGCCGCGTTTTCTCTTCATCATTGTTGCCAGTGTCCTGATCATTGTGGGCGTGGTCCTGTGTGTTCTGTGCGCTCAATTCTGGTTCTATAGACGGCATCGCGGCAAGATGCCCTACTACAATTTCTCGCTGCTGCCGCAAAAGGGCAGGGAACAGTTCGAGCTGGACGACGATGCCGGCGACGACGGCGAAACCGAGCTCTTCCGTTCGCCCATCAAGCGTGAGTAGAGCCCAGACACTGGCACACACAGGCACTAATCCTTAACCTTGGTATCTTACAGGCGGCATGACCATACAGCCCTACTTCGATGAGGAGCAGCTGGAGCATATACTGCACACGGATGATGACGATGACGACGATGAGGATGTGGTTGGCGTTGGGATTGGGGTGGAGCGCGAGCGGGAGCGGGAGCGGGAACAGGAGCCGCAGCTGGATGCGGCCGATGAGAGCGGCGATGAGATTGTCATGTTGCATCAACACAATCGGCGCAGGCAATAGAAAGGGACAGCAACACACACACACACACACACACACACACACACACAACATAACTGTGATTCAAAAGTTTTCAAAAATCAAGCGCTCTACGATAAACTAAATATTTTTTTTTAATTTGTATATTTTTTTTTTGTCAATTTAATCATGTACATACACACACACACACACACACACATATATATATATATATATATATATATATATATAGACATATAGCTATATCCATATCGACATCCGATGTCTTGCCGTTAAATTGCCGCGAATCTCTGCATAAACAAAAACCTTAAAAAAGTCTAATAAGAAATATATATATATATATATATATATATGTGTGTGTGTGTATATTTATATGCATGTATGTGTGCTGTCCGGTGTTGCCAATGCAGCCGTTTTCCGCTAAACGGATTTAGCGTATTTTGACGACAATCAACAAACTTTGCTCAAATTCGAATTAAGCTATTTTATATATTTTTTTTTTCAAAGCCCTTTTCAACACTGGCTTTAGCTACCTTTTTTTTTGTTGGCAACACTGGCGCTGTCCAAGAACCTAACTGTAACTAATCTTAAGACTGAGCTCCAGCAAATAGAAAATCAAAACAAAAAGCAAAGAAGAAGAAGAAAGTTAAACACACACACACACACACACATACAGCAAGAATGTGTACTTAAGCAATTGAAAACTTTGAAAAAATAACATTCCACATGCCCGGCCTTACAATAATACCAGACCAAAATCCTTATATCTATATATATAATATATATATATATATAGAATAAAAATAAAGCATATCCAATTTACCAGCTGGCAATATATATAATTATAAATGAAACATTTTTAACATATTTCTAACGAACATTCAATCAAATGTGCAGGCTTTTGATATTATACAGAGCGTAAGCGCCCGATTGAATAACTATATATATATATATATATGCATATATCTATAGCTATAAGAATGCACGATTTGAATACCAATTTATATATATTTCGCACTTTATGCTTATGAATTATATTCGAAATGGTGCACACTCACCCAAATCGAAAAAAGATAATCTAAAAATATGTCTATATAGCTATGCATATGTACATATCTGGCGATGTTGCTATCAATATTTATCTAACTTTAAGACTAATATGCAATATTATTTAAATAAATACGAGTATGTACATGTAGCGCACGCGCACATTATTTTTGGGGGCTATCAAAATAACCCCCCCCCCACAAGACAAGAATTATGCCTAGTCATAAAGAGATATGCTCAGCTTTATAGATTGAAATGCGAGAGCTTAGACGGTGTCGCTGTGTCGATTACTAAATGCCCTCACAAACGAAATAATTCGAGTTTACGTTTCTTACGTTTGTGTTTCAAAAACCTTTTGCAACACTGGAAATTTGGAGAGCCTAACCCTACTTTTGACCACAGTACAGTTATGTGCAAAGTATTCACCCGAAAGCCTGTAAATCTTAGCTTGTATAGAAATATATAGAGTGCATATATAGAGTTCCATTTGAATCCATGCCAAGTCCAGTGTTGAATATGAGCTGAAAGTAACATAACCTTAAAACCGGATGCAAAACTTTCTTCTAGCTTTTAATAGATTATAAAGCAGAAATAGATGTTTCGTTAAATTGCAATTGAGCTGTGCCAAGCCAAAACATTCAGATTGCCGCGTTCCATAGGCGTTGCTCGGCTGCACATACCCTGTACGCTGGCTGTGCCAATGAATGTATATACCCTGTAAAAACAACGAAAACATGCTGCGATCAGTTGGCCAAAGACAATGTAAACAAACGCGCTCAAAGTTAAATCAAGTTTGAGGCGCACATTCATAGACTCGGATGTACAGAGTTGTACATGGCCAGGATCAAGGTTATCGCGACCAGCTGCTATCAGCCACATGGAAGATGCCCTTATCTGCGGGCAGTGCGCCGCTTCTGGGTAGACGGGGGGGGAGGGGGCGCGATGCGAGGTTTATCAGCGGACAGCACAGCCAGATGATAGTTGACAGCGGCGAAAGTGAGTGGCGACAGCTCAGTTGTCAAGTGCCGAGCGACCGAGACACAGACAGAACTGGCAGCATGTGGTGGACGCGTAAATTGGCCAACAAATGGCTGCAGCGACGCTGCCTGAGCGCGGCGTGCGAACAGAATCGGCTGGGCATTATCGGGGTGCCGTTCGCCAAGGGGCAGACCAAGCAGGGTGTCGAGCTGGCGCCGGATCTGTTGCGACAGAACAGGCTGCGCCAGGTGCTGCAGAGCAGCGACGGTAAGCTGTTGGAAAGAAGATGGCGTCGATGGAGATGAAAAAGAAAAAGAAAAAAAAGAAAAATTCAGTTTGATTTGTTTGTATCGTTTATTTGCCTATCGATAATTGCGCCTATCGATAACACAGAGCGACTGCTTATAACGGACTACGGCAATTTGCAGTACGCCGTAGACGAGTCGCTGCTGCAACAGCAGCGCCAGCATTACCATCACATACACAACTATGCGGACTTTATGGCCTGCAATCTGGCCCTGATCGGGCAGGTGCAGCTGATGCTGCGCGAGAACGCCCAGTTCCTGGCCATTGGCGGCGATCATGCCATTGGCTTTGGTGAGTGCGATAGCTGATTGATTGATTGATTGATTGATCAATTGTTTGATTGACTGCTCGATATTGTGTGTTCAGGCTCCGTGGCGGGTCATTTGCAGCATACGCCGAATTTATCGCTGGTCTGGATCGATGCGCATGCGGACATCAATTTGCACAGCACCTCGCAGTCGGGCAATATACATGGTATGCCCGTTTCGTTCCTTCTGCCGCAGCTGCGCGCCACCTGGCAGCATGCGGCGCTCGACAAGATTGCGCCCAATTGGTGAGTGCTGTTCTCTCTCTCTTTTATGCTTTTCAACTTTTCGAATATAACTCTTTGTTCTGCTCTTTATTACATTTTGCTATCGTTATCGTTATCGTTATCGCTATGGTTATCGTTATCGTTATCGTTATCGTCGCTTACAGCTATAACACACAACATATACGCACTGTGCTTCTTCTTCTTCGTGCACGTGCAAAACTCTTAAAGTTAGGTTATGTTCTAATTGGAATTGTACGCCAGCTCGCTTACGTTCTAATTGGAACTGGCGGCCAGTTCTCTTATCACAGTTTCTTAAGTATTTGGTTTGGTTTTTAGTTTTCGATTTATAGATTTTGATTTGTTTGTCGTTTCTTTCTTCTTCTTCTTCTACTACTTCTACTTCTTTCTTTTCTTTTTTGTTTTTTTTTTTTGTTTTTTGTTTTTTGTAAATTGCGTTGGGTCTCAGTCTTAAGTTTTTGTGTATTTTTGGTTTGTTTCTTAGTTTTATTTAATTTGCATAACATTATTTTGTTGCAATTTTACTTTCTTCACGTTTCTTTTTTTTTTGGCAGTTTCTGTTACATGAATTTCCTTAGGAACCTAACCATAAACAGAAAAAAGAACACAAAATTGAAAGTGAAAAAGAAAAACAAGTCGAAAACAAAAAAAAAAAAAACAAATTTGATAACGAACAAACAAATAAATATATACCTCTAATATATACACTATACATATATATATATATATAAATATATATATATATACTGTGTGGCGCGTGTTTAAGAGCCTAGCCTAGCGTAAATAAGGAAATCGAAAAGAGAAGTAAACAAATCGTATACATAGTCCAATTGGATTCGAATGCGTCAATTGGATTCGAATATATAATGCTAATTGGAACGTTTGCGTTCTACTAAAAGCTTCAAAATCAACAGACTATACATATATATATATATAGATATAGATATATCGGAACGAACTACAAATAAACGCAATGCACAGCTCAGCGTATCGTTGATCAAAAAAAAAAAATAATAATATATATATATATATATATATATATGTATATGACAAAAACAAATATCAACAGATTTTTCGGATGGGGATAAAAATTATCAAAACGAAAAGCTCGCTACGTTCAACTTGATCTGGTTTTGGTGCATAATGTTTGGTTGGGCGCTGGGCGTGTCGGGTGGTACCCCCCCCCCCCCTCCCCCCACCAACCCGACACCGCCACCGCACACCGTTGACCCCGGTGCTGGTGCTACAAAACAAATCAAATCAAATCGAAACCGAAAACCATAAATTCAAAAATGTTCTAGCTTAAACTTAATTGTAAATCGCCTGGCATACGTTAAAAGTAGCTTGTACTTCTTCTTCTTCTTCTTCTTCTTCTGCTTTTGCTTTTGCTGCTGCTTCTTCTGCTGCTTCTTCTGCTTCAGCTTGTTCTTCTTTGCTTACATAATAATTAAGATAATAATTAAGTATTTAGGAGTAAAATTTTATGCGATTCATATGAAACTTAAAATTATCAGATCACAAAATATGAGGCTAAAACTTCAAAATATAAACTCTTATCAAACTTGTGGACAGAGCGAGCGAGAGAGAGAGAGAGAGAGAGAGGGGTGTGTGTGTGGTGGAAAATAAATCGAGAGTTACACTGAAAGAAATCAAAATGTATTAGTGTGTGCGTGTGTGTGTGTGTGTACACAATACAAATACTACAAGAAGAAAAAAGTCGAGAACATATTTCATATATGAAAATCAACTAAAGCTCAATTCTTAACTGGTTTATTAGGGCGTTGGGGGCGTGGTCTGTGTTTCGCGGAACGCCGGAACGAAAATATTTGGAAGAAGTTAAAACTTTCGCTCGTTTATTTTTTCTAAATATTTTCTTGAATATTTGTAAAATGCGTTGAAAGGAAAATATTAAGGATATTTTTATTTCGAGATTTTCGAACTCTTGGGGAACATTTTGTGAGCATTTTGAAGAGCTGTAGATAAATGTAAATTGAAGATTTGTAGCTGGCTTTTGGAGAGTTAAACTAACTATGGAAAAAGCGGACTACTTTCAAAATGAAAGCTATGTAAGGGTATTGCAGCTTCGGCTAGCCGAAGGAAATCAAGGAAATTACAATACGTGTGTGTGTGTGCGCGTGTGTGTGTGTGTGTGTGTGTGTGTGGATTAAAGATAAACATATATATATATATATTATGCGTATGTAAATAAGTATGTAATTACAATCAATATCGAATGAATCATATATAATAATTATACAATTAGTAATTATTGTGTTTGGTTTTTTGTTTTTCTGTTTGACTTTACTTTTTTTCATCGTTTTTTTTTTTTTTTTTTTTTGTGGCAATTAATTAATTAACTAATTCAAGTTAAACATGTAATTAATGTAAATGTTAAATGTCAAATTCAATTGAACAAATCGAACAACAACACACGCCTGAAAATAAATCAAGAGAAAGAAACAAATTAGAAATATGCATACTGTTTTTTTTTTCAGTGTTTTTTTTTTTTTTTTTTATTAATTTTTTGAGGTTAGCTACAATAGAAAAAAGAGTAGGAAAAAAACCATTTTTGAAGTCAAAACTCATCATGGGCGATGTTTATTATTGAGAAAAATCAAATATTCAAATTTTCAACGCTGTACAGAGGAAAGCAAATCAAATTATATATATATATATATATTAGCCTGGATAAATGTTAATTTGTTCGACGGGGGCGCGGGGCGGGGGCGGGTGGGCGTTGGGCTTATAGAAAAACTCTCAGTTGAAATCGTTTTACTTACCGGAAATAAAATCACATCTTAAAAACAATAAAAATCTTTTTCGAGCTACAACAACAACAACAACAACAAACTGAAAGAGTGGTTGGGTGTGGGGGTGGGGGGGGGGGGGGGTAAGACATATATATATATATAGAAGAAAACAAGAAGAAAAAACATATTTAACTAGACTACGATTTGGTTTTGGATATGATTCCATAAAATCCATATATAGGGATAAGTCTATATGCGGGGCATATACACTGCGAGAAATCGAATGGCAGTCTGGCTGGAGAATTCGAACTGGAGAAGAGGCGAGCTTTGTTTTGTATAGGTTTTGTCAGTTTTTGGCTAACTTACACACTAAAAAAAAAAAGAAAACAAAATTCTTTTGTACACTGCGCAAAAATAAAAATAAACATACATATATACGCTTCATATATAAGTTGTATAAACACGGAACACTTTGTTGGTATTTTGGAGACTGTAGCACAACAACTGAAACAATTTGGAGAAAAAGTGTGTGTGTGTGTGTTTGTGTGTGTGAGAGAGTTAGCAAAAGTTACACTGTAAAAAAGAATCAACTGTATTTCTTACAAATCACAAAAGTTCAATAAAAAACAACCGCAAAAAAAAAAAAACAAAACAAAACTGATGTCGCGTTGCCTGCAAAATGTTGTACAACAAAGAGAGCGAATCAACCAAAGAGACTGGGAGAGAGAGAGAGAGAGAGAGCGCGTTAAGAAATCATAGCGTACGAGTGGGAAGGCAACAGCTGAGAGGCGGCTAGACAAAACTAGTGACAGCAGACGGCAGATGAAAGAGAGCGAGCGAGCGCGAGAGAGAGAGAGAGAGAGAAAACTGAACGACAAACAAATGTTGAACTCAACGAAACAAATGACTTAACGTAAGAGTAAAGAACGAAAGCGAAAGAAATTGGAAAACGAGAGAACGAAACACGTGAACATCGATGTGGGCTAAAGAAAAACTTGTTGAAGGAAAACTAGGAAAACTTGGAAAACTGAAAAGTGAACTGAACCAAGTTTTGTGTATTTTGATATGCAAAGCAAGAAAAACTCATAATCATATATTTTGCAAATACATTTATAATATAAATTGTTGGTTTTTTTTTTTTTTTTGTTTTCATCTTTTTGGTTGCATTGTTTTCCATTTTGTATGTTGAAATATCATTTGAAATGTTTGGATAAATATTATTAATTAATTGATATAAATATGTTAATAAAAAAATTAAATAGTTTCATCATCATCATCATCGTAATCATCATCGTAATGATCGTAATGATCGTAATCATTTTGCATGTATAATATACATTATATAGACTATATATCGGGCGTATTGTATGTTATGGGTTTCTGTTTTGGTATTTCTTTTGTTTAAACATACTTTCTTGTAATTTGTTTAATTATTTGCTGTTATATATATATATATATATATATATATATATATATTATTTTTTTTTTGCTGCTTGTTTTGGTTTTAGTTCTTTAGGTATTTCAATTGTTCGTTTCTGTGTGTGTTGAACGAACATTTCATATATATATATTTAAATAATAAGCGCATATTACTAGAGTTTATACGATAATTAAGCGTAAGACTAAGGCTAACTAATCATAATTTATAATCAATTCAATTAAAATCAAAGTATTCTTCTCGTTTGCACACAAAACAAAATTCATAATATCGCATTTTGGTAAAAGAAATTGCAACTCTTTTGTTTTTTCGTTCAGTTTCGTTAAGTCGCGGTTCGTGGAATGTGCCAAGACACAGACAGAGTGAGTGTGTGAGTGTGAGAGTGAGAGAGGAGGAGGAGGGGGAGAGAGAGAGAGGATAGTGTATGTGCGTGTTAGAGTTAAGAGAGTCAACGAAATTAAATACTAAGAAATGTGTTTGTGTGTGTGTGTGTGTGTGTGTGTAAGAGAGAGTTAAGAGAATTAACAATTACGCCCGAGTACGGCCGCGATCTTTTTTGACTAGGCACGCCCACCTTAATAACAAAAGGGGCGCCAGTTGTGTAGATGAACGGGAATGTTTCGAGCAGTTGAGATCATTTATTTAATTGCTGGCTTGACTAGCTTTAGCTGGACTGGAATGCATCAATTCCAAGCGTCCATATATAACACATGTGTATGCTCCGCAGAGCGAAGACAGAGGCAGCAGTGGGGAGGGGGGAGGGATACACACAAAGAACGTTTACGAATGGGGTGGGAAGCAAGAGAGATAAAGAG